GATCACCATCGCAGTCCTCCTCTACAAAAGATGGAGAAACAAGCAGCACCACTCTGTTCATCAAGACCCCCATTTGGCAGGTTCTTTCTTTGTGCCTAGCTACAACTCTATAGGTAAATCTTATGTCATGGGGATTAGTACTTAGAGAGACAATTTTCTTGTGTGGGTATGTTTGTAGGTGGGAAGGTGGTAATGTTCAAGTCAGGGACAATGCAGTCCCCAGAGGTAACCCCACAAGTGGTCCTGAAAAAAACCATGAAGTTAACTAACAAGGACATGATCGGGTCCGGTGGCTATGGAACCGTCTACAAGCTGTCCATAACCGAGTCCATTTCCTTCGCGGTCAAGCGGCTCAGCAGAGGGAGCCCCGACAGGGACCGGACCTTCGAGAGGGAGCTCGAGGCAATGGGAGATATCAAGCACAGAAACATTGTCACCCTCCATGGCTACTACTCTGCCTCTCACTACAACTTGCTCATCTACGAGCTCATGCCCAATGGGAGCCTGGATGGACTTCTGCACCACCCAAAGGAGGGGGGAGAAGAAGAAGAGTTGCAGAGGGTTGTGCTGGATTGGGATTCCAGGTACAGGATTGCAGTTGGTGCAGCGAGAGGGATATCGTATCTTCACCATGATTGCATCCCTCACATAATTCACAGGGACATCAAGTCTAGTAACATACTTCTGGACCAGAATATGGAAGCCCGGGTCTCGGATTTCGGGTTGGCTACTTTGATGGAGCCTGACAAAACCCATGTCTCCACTTTTGTTGCTGGAACTTTTGGCTACTTGCCTCCAGGTATCCAAATCCGTTGCGCCAAGCTTAGTGCTGTTAATGTGTTTGATGGGTATATATGCTTCTTTCTCATTGCACTTTCTTTCTTCATGGTGTATAGAATACTTCGACACAGGCAAGGCAACTGCGAAGGGGGATGTATACAGCTTTGGGGTTGTTCTGCTTGAACTTCTAACTGGAAGGAAGCCAACGGATGAAGCCTTCTATGAGGAAGGCACCAGGCTAGTGACTTGGGTACGTAATTCAACATTCATATTTCCATTGATGCATGTGTCGGACATCGATTGTTTGTAGGCATTGAGATTCTCACCCTCATCGGTTTGAATGAAAACAGGTGAAGGGAGTAGTTGAAGACAAGAGAGGAGAGTATGTAATTGACAGCAGCTTGAAGTGCAGCTCCTGTCATAATATGGACGAGATCAATGGCATGTTCGAAGTTGCATTCGCATGCCTGGAACCTGACCCTTTCAATAGACCAACAATGGCCGAGGTGGTTAAGATGCTAGAGCTACTAAGATGCGGTTGAGCAGCACAGCTGTTGAAGTAGAAGAAAAAGAGGAGAACTCTGTCAAAATTTGTTATGATAGATCTTCCAGCACAAAGTTAACAGGCAATAATTTCAATTACCAACACTTACAGCTGCTGGAATGGAAACCACTTTCCTTTTTCTACATAACATAAATTTTTTGCTCACTTGCTCTACAAGTAACACTAAACTGGAAACTAGCCAAAAATGGTTGCATGATGTGTTGTTCACTTGTGACCCACTGCCAGCCCGGTAGCAACAGACATTTTCAGGGAGGGAGAAACAGGAGAGTCTCCAAAGAACACATCGAAAAGGGCTGCAGCCACATTCGTCGATTCTATCGTTGCATCTGCACCAGAAGATGTGTCGCCATCCACGCAAACCTGGAAACCAGCAAATGTCAATCAAGATCATGAAAACTGGGAGAAATAAAATAATGTTCTGCATAAATGTGTTGTGACAAACACTCACATGCATTTTAGAGGGACCCAACCATGTCAAGAACAAGACAGTTCCTTTGCTAAGAGGCCGGTTCTCAAACGTGGCTCGGAGCTTGGCTAGAGCAGGCTCATCAGCTTCGGTGGGTGCTTTGATCCTGGGCGAAATAGCTTCATCCAATGCGTCCCAGAATGTTTTTCCGTCAACATCTCTTACTAGAACAATCCTCAGTGCTTTCTCCGAGGGAGCTGCATAAATGAATACGCTCACGCTGTAAAATTTACTGTAATATTCGTTTTAGAGCTGGTTAATGACATGCATTACCAAGGAAAATGGAGCTGAACAATGATGAATTCGCTTCGATCTCAGCAGCTGACAGATCTTTCCAAGCAGTCAATATAGTAAAGATAGATTGATCAACATACAGTCCCGCAGCATAGACTTTGACCCCAATGATGGCAAAAACCTTCTCTCTGTATCCTGGAAAAGAACGACATATTGTTATAGAGCTGTCAGTTTTTTCAGAAACTAAGTTCTAAAATTCAGTTCTGCAGAGAGCTCATCATGCATTTATCGAGCTTTAACTAAATTAAGCAGTAGCGCAAAGGGTGCTTCTAACTAGCTTGGGGAGTTTCCAATATATGATGAAGAGGCAATTGATCACGACGGACAAATGGAAAATAAAATTTCTAGAACAGATAACAATAACTCTAATTGTACTGACCAGTTCCGAGCAAGGATAGCGAGCTTGATGTACAACCTGGCACTTTCAAGGACTTCGGGAATTTCACATTGGTTGCAGGTTCCTCCAAGTATTCTGTAGTTCCAGCTGTGAGGCAGTCCCAAAAGAAAAACAGATCAGACTGGGGGATACAATAGGAGAGTAGCCAGGGCTTTAAACAGCCATCTCTAGTAAAATCCACGAAAGAAGAGCATGCAATGTTGTGATCCAAGAATCACCACAAGCCATTAGATTCCGATAATCCTCACCAGAGGATCCAGAGAGACATGTGAGTGACAAAATGGAACTTCAATATTGGTTAATAATCTCAACATTCGTGCTGTCAATACTATTAAGATTTCACAACATCCCAAGCAAGCTATTAAAGGAAAACAATGGCTTGCAGGAACACTGGAAGGACAGGGTTCACAAAGAGGATAACTACTTGTGCATAGCATTATGAGATGAAATGAAACATATTCTATTTTGACTAACATTCAGCAAGTCTTGCAGTGACTGGAACAAATTGGTTCTCAACATTGTATCAAAGCCTTTGATGACTGGTCATGTGATTCGAATACTAACTTCCAACATCAGTGCTTGATTTAAAGTTTAAACACAGTATAACAAAATCTGCTAACTTCAAACACATTTGTGGGCTTTCAATTAGAGAAACATGCAAAAGGAAAAGAATGTATGATTCATTCTTGAGTTACTGCAACGAACCAGAACCGGTTCTCGACACCCTATACCGGTTGATGATCCGTGATACCACCCACATATCGTCCAACAATTTTCACAGGAATGACATTCAGATCGAGGACATCCAAGCACAAAATTTTCTGTATCTGGCGTCCGGCTTACATGATTCTCTTGCTTGACACACATTGCCAAATTCATGCATGCATACACGAAAAGATTCAAGCTTTTGAGCAAAAATTCCCCCAAAACCAAAAAAAACTGATCACTTATTCTCTAGAATCCCAACAAAACAACGAAAGGAAATGGAGAATCCGGCCATGCATGAACATCATAATGAAGAATTGGGGAAATAATCTTGAACACAATTACCTGCAGATGAAGAAGCTTTCAGGTAATGGGAATGTCTGGGACTGAGTCTGAGATTGTTGATCGGGCGAGCCGCGGAATGCTGCAGATGGAAGAATGCTGTTGTGGATAAGGGAGATGAGGAGTTGGAGACGGCGATGGTTCTGCGGCGAAATGGGACACCCGGGTCGGGTCGGATACAAGCTGCTAAAGCCGAATTCCAGGGTTTGACGGAGATCGGAGTGGAAATCATTGAACCCACCATTTTTGTTTGGCCTGTTGGTGTTCTTCAGTGTTCCCTCTTGCTCTGCTTCAATGAATAGAGTCTCTAAGTAGGCGATTGGGGTTTATACTTAATACCGATGGGGAAAGTAAAACCCCGCGGCCATTTAGGATCGAAGGTCGTTAATAAGCTTTTATGGGATTTTACTTTCTTAATTCTGTGTTTGTCCGTATTTTTTATTTTGACTAATTAATCCCTTGTTTGTTGGATCTATAACCACTATTCTCTTGGGGAAAATGTTGCTATATGAAATCCTCAATTTATAGAGTGTGTTTTAGATGTGTAAGATTATATGGGGGGACAAATTATGTTCTAGGTTTAACATTGGATGGTATAAATGAGACCACCTAGAAATGTCTACTAATTTTAGGTTAATGAAAAACATGCTATTGAGTTTGTCTGATCCTATATGATAGTTTAGTACGAGATCAAACACAATCCCTACTGGTTCAATGACGTTAAGAGTTGGTGTTCCCTTCTAAATTTGATGACAAAGGCATTAACTTGTTAGGTTTATTTTGTGTCCCTTAACAACCTCGCATGTCACACTTATTGGGTATTAGTTAGCGTTCAACTAATTGAAACAACTTTGTGCACGAGTTGAATGTTACCAATACATATTTTGTGATGTAACATGTACCTTGTGGTTGTGTACCGTATAAATTAGACACATATCTAAGGATGAATCAAATGAAAATCAGAGGAAGTTAAGTGATGACGATTTGATTACCTGATCAAATTAGGATATTAGATCAGTAAAGAAATCACTAGCAAAACGTCATTTGTGGTGAAATGGAGAAAGTTGATTCAACCGGTCACCAAAGCCACATAAAAAGGCTAACCCAAGAAAGTAAAAGAGGGTTATTGTGACCAACCAGAAATCCTGGTTTAAAGGCCACATTATTAAACAATGAGGAGATTAATCAGAAGGAGAATGGCATCACGTGTGACTTGTCAATTGGGTTTGGAATCAGTTCCAATTAATTGTTCGTCCCCAAAAGTCCCCACCCACCACCGCCACCACCGTTAGCTCGCTCCCTCGCTTAACGGCTATTGAGAATTTGAGATTACGCAACACGAATTCCAATTATAGCCGTTCGGAAGCTGCCACCAGAAATTTGGCTCCTCCTCTCCTCTGACGGTGGCTATTTAAACCAACAACTCTCCGTTTCTTTGCTTTGCTGCAAAAGAATCCTATATAGACAGACACTTCTCCTTCTTCTCCTTCTTCTCCTTCTTCTTCTTCTTCTTCTTCTTCTTCTTCTTCTTCTTCTTCTTCTTCTTCTTCTTCTTGCAGCTGCTTACAGTCACCCACTGCCTACTTCAGTTCAACAGAGTCTTACTGTTGTGGGCGGCAGAGCAATTAGTGATCCATGGCCCGCTTTCCTTTTCTCCTTGCATTGTGCTTTGCTCTTTGTAAGTAAACTTAATTCTCTTTCTCAATTGGTATTAGGACGTCTTAACGCAATTTACAGTCGTTAAATATACACCATGGTGACAATCTTACACCGTGATTCGGTGTGGTGGGGGATATTTGATTGATGCCATTAACTAAAGAGACATGCATGTTGTAATTGCAATTGCAGGTGCAGGTTTCGTCATAGGAAATGACCAGGTATGTATTTTCATGTCACTCATCTTTAACAAAAGGGCTGATCTTTGAGAAATATCAATAATGTTGTTATATGTAAGGTCAGTGATTGGTTTACTTGGCCTGCCTTCATTCTCGAGGAGGACATAGGTTGATCAATTCTTGACATTGTTAGGGATGATTGAAACAAATGAAATGTCACTTTGATCCCCTTGTTAGCTTAATTTTAATTGGCATATGGACGATGTAATTGTGTGCAGGCGGGAAGTAGTAGTTGTTGGTGTGTAGCAAAACCATCGTCGGACCAAGCAACGTTGTTGGCAAACTTAAATTATGCGTGTTCTAAGGTCGACTGCCAGATTCTGCAAAAAGGGTGTCCCTGTTTCTACCCCGAAACCCTCATCAATCGCGCCTCCGTCGCCATGAATCTTTACTACCAATCTCGAGGAAGAAATGCTTGGAGCTGTGATTTCAGAGGCTCTGGTCTTGTTGTTCTGACTAATCCAAGTAATATTGTTTGTTAATTTGTATCATTTAAATTTAATTTCCAACCTTTTTGTTCATTTTTTCATTTCAATATCTTGATTGTTTTGATGTGTAAGATGTGTTCCTTTTAATCTCTGATGATTGCAGGTTATGGCAATTGCATTTACGCTTGAAGATGGTAGCCAACAAATCAGGAACTTGATGGGTGTCCTATAATCAAACAACAAATTGTTATCTTATAATTGTTTTTAGTTGCTTGTTGTCTATCAATGTAATTGATACAAGTCCCTCCTTAAATGCAGACCAACTGTCAAGTCAATCCTGTATTAATCATCCTTTGGATTTTATCATGACATACTGATGGATAATATAGTTGATTAGAAAATGTACCAAGAAGGGATTAATGTAGCATTGATGGACGATAGTTGAATGAGAGCGAAATCGAAAGTGTTAGAGAACAAAATTAAGAGGAAATTGAATATGAGTTGGGAAAGAACTGAAATAAAATGGAGAGAATTTGAAAAGATTCGAAAAATAATTAAAAGAATATCTTACAATTTCATTATCCGATAATAATTACAAAATTGGTAATGTTTATTACATAGACTCCAATTCGAAACCTTAATAGATGTACACATAGAATAATCCTAAAACAATGGTCTTCCACCTTACATGCAACAAATGTGTTCAAACTACAAGCATAAACAAAATGTGGCAAATAGGGCCATTGCCAAAAAAATGAACTAAATTTGGAATTAGAGCATAATAACAAGTACAGGGGAACAAGAAAAATAAGAAAAATCTAAACCAATGATTTTATTCTGGCCCTTAGGACCGCTGTTTTTGTTTGGTGATACACTGATACTGATACTGATACTGATACTGATACCATATTCTCCATCTCGTTATCATTACAAAGGTCTAAATTTCTTTTGGGAACGGATTATTACAATAATTGTCCTGAAAAATTTCACTGGCCTCACAAACTTGATGAAATAACCAAGGCCGTAGAGATCCCAAATCCTCTTATGTGGGCTTCTCCGATCCACTCAATTTCAACTCCACTCCCTCCTCTTATAACAACCGGAAACAAGATGCTACTGTTCAGCTTGCCTTCCTTCTTCTTTTTCTTCTGTTTTTTCAATCTCCCCCTCTCCTCCCACTCCAGATTTCCAGGTCGCCCGTTTCGCTTCTGTAGTTTATCTTCACAATTGAATCCAATTTGCTATCTGGGACTTCGATTTGGCAGCCAAAGTTTCGAGCTTTTTGGGTTTCCCCCTTCTGGGTACTTCAGAAATGGCGTCATTGACAATGGTTGACTTAGTGGGTTGCGCATCCACTTCTTCTAATGCTTCATTAGATAGGTATCTGTGGCGGAAAACAATGCACAGCTCAGTTTCCAAAAGGTTTCATGGAGTCCGCGGTGCTGGAAGATTGGTAACTTGCCGTTGCCGTCTAGATTCTGCTCGGTGCAGAAGCATTTCCATAAAGAGCGCCGACACTCGGCCTAATGGTACTATATGTTATGCTTTGCTTTGCTTTTGCTGTGGCAAGAGGGAGGAAAAAGTTATCTTCTTTGACCTTTTTTATTTTCTGTTTGACTTGGATAACTGTTTTCTTGCTACTTGTGCCTTCTATGAGGACTTTGCTAACGTTTGAGGTTTCCTGTAAACTTTAGTTCTTTGTTCTACTGGTTAGTTACTGTGCCTTTTTCTAGTAAGTAGGCAATCCAGCCGTAGCCATTTCCCAGAAAGGAAGGGAGTAGTAATATGTGTAGTATCCAGCCATGTTGGGCTGAACTTCACTGCTTGCTTTTCTCAATTGAGAAGTGTTTCCTTCCGCTTAACTTGAGTTTCAATTGCTCTCTATGTTATGATCAATCTTTTTGGGCTGGGTTGACTTGATTTCTGTTCATCATTTGCTTCCGTAATACTTACTTAGTCCAAGAGTATTGAAATTTTGTTTGCTCCAGGAACTTCAGAAGTCATGTTGAATGTAAAAAGAGGTCAAATTTCACTGGCGAAGGTGTTCGAGGTGGTAGCTGATGACCTACTGATCCTTAACCAAAATCTAAAATCAGTGAGTACTTCAACTTTCTAAGAACTGGTTTGTATTTCTATAGTGAATGAGCGATGTTTTTAATGCCTTGGAGTATGTTGTTCTTAGCTGTGCTATCTATTCTGCGCGGTACTTTGCTTGTTATGCAGTGAGGATGTGCGGTTGATAGAAAGAATTTGATTATATGCATTCAGGAGCTTTGTTGCCCTTGATTGTCTATGATGGTTGCTGTGCATGGCAAGCTGCTGAGTTGAAATGAGATTAAACGCTGTAATTTTTCATGATGCAGTTGATTTCATAGAAATTACTAGCATTATTGCTAGTAAAATGTTTGTGTTACAAAATTAGAGCTGGCAGCTGACTTTTACAAACTGTTGAAGTTTATGATCTAAGAACTAGATAGCCGATCATCTAGAGGAAGAGAGGGTTTCTGATTCTGACAGTAAACAGCTTCAGTATTTTACATAGAGTTACTTAAAGGTGTAAAAAGAAGAGATTTCATTCGTAGTTTTGCATATGATTGACTCTGTTACAGTAGCTCTATTGCTCCCTGGGAGACCTTGTACTGTTTATCATGGATATACTTTTTCTGGTCAGTAAGCTATGAGAGGTTGTTCATTGTTGAATTGTTGTCATTTCTGTAGCCACTAGATTGAGCCTGTGGCTGAGCTAGAATTTGGTTAATAGATGATGTCCTAGGCAAAGTTCCTTCTATTCAAAACCATCTCTAAGTGCCTACCTAGTTGATACAATGTCAAGTAGAAAAGACGAGTTTACTGTGACAACTTTACCTATCTCCTACTTGGTACATTGAGTTGCATTTATGCTGACTACTCACATGACGAAGATCTTTGTGCTAGATTGTTGGAGCAGAGAACCCGGTATTAATGTCAGCAGCTGAGCAGATATTTGGTGCTGGTGGGAAGAGAATGCGACCAGCTCTAGTTTTCCTGGTGTCAAGGGCTACAGCTCAGATGTCCGGTTTAAAGTTAGTTCGACCGAGCATTCTCTGCGGTTCGAATTTTGAACTTCCAATTAGATTGTACAACAAATATAATGCAGTATTTCTTTCACAGGGAACTTACTACGAATCATCGACGTCTGGCAGAGATCATCGAGATGATCCATACAGCAAGCCTAATACATGATGATGTGTTGGATGAAAGCGACTTAAGAAGGGGTATGTGACATACTGGTTAAACTCTTGGAATATCCCTTTACGCCATTTTATTCAAGTTATTTTCCAATTTCTTGAATGTGTTGTTATCTGACACTGTGCTTTGCAGGGAAGGAAACAGTTCATCAACTGTATGGTACAAGGGTAGCAGTACTTGCTGGGGATTTCATGTTTGCACAGTCATCATGGTACTTAGCCAATCTTGAAAACCTTGAAGTCATCAAACTGATCAGCCAGGTATAGTCTGGTAGACCTCCGTTTCTCGACTAATGGCAGCTATGTGTTTATACAGACTAAGACTAAACTGGAAATTTTAATGTTGCAGGTGATCAAAGATTTTGCTAGTGGCGAAATAAAGCAAGCATCAAGCCTGTTTGACTGTGACGTCAAGCTTGAAGAATACCTGATCAAGAGCTACTACAAGACGGCGTCTTTAGTCGCAGCTAGCACCAAAGGATCCGCCATTTTCAGCGGAGTACACAGCAGTGTGTCCGAGAGCATGTTCGAGTACGGTAAAAACCTTGGCCTATCGTTCCAGGTTGTTGATGACATACTTGATTTCACACAGTCAGCAGAGCAGCTAGGGAAGCCAGCTGGGAGTGACCTGGCAAAGGGGAACTTGACTGCACCGGTCATATTCGCTCTGGAGAAAGAGCCTAAACTCAGGGACATTATTGAGTCTGAATTCGTCGAGGAAGGCTCTCTCCAGCATGCCATCGACTTAGTCCAGAGATGTGGAGGAATCCAGAGAGCACAGGAACTGGCCAAGGAGCAAGCTGTTACTGCGATCCAGAACCTCCAGTGCCTTCCTCAAGGATCCTTTCGTTCTGCACTCGAGGAAATGGTTCTGTACAATCTCGAGAGGATTGAGTAAACGAATGCACGCGGGGTATATTACTGCAAGTGTGATATTAGGATGAACCGAATCTTGATAATTACTTGCAGCGTAAGCTACTTACTGCATAACACGATGGTATACACAATAAACTGGGCAGAATGTAGAACAAGCCCCAGGTAGCCGGCAGATCAGCAGATCACGACGATGCGTTTACTGCTGCTGGCTGGCCAATTGGAAGATTCTTGTGGCTGCTTTGTAGATTCATAGCTTCAGATTCTTCTGCTGGAAATGTAATATTCAATGAGGTTAACTATACAGTATACACAGATATATTTTCCCACTATTTTTTCATGCGTTATTTTTGTTCCTGCAGGAAATGATTTTCTTTTAAGAATCTTAAATTTAGCTGTAGATTTTCGAGCACCAATATTGTTTGTATCAATTTGTCGTCAATTTATCCTGTTTCGATTTTGAGAGTACGAAACGTTTCGTGTTGTATGATGCTGTCCCACGTTTCGCCTTTAATAATGTCTTTTCAGCCCGCTTTGCAGGTTAGGCATTACGGGCTACTGAATAAATGGGCCTGTCTTAACAGAGCAGATCCAACAAGGCCTGTGAAATTTTGGATTTTGGACGATTCAAGGGATGAGTTCGTCCAAAACAAAAACTCAGTGTAAACTTCCCTAGCTACCTCAAAATTTAGTGTCCGTTTATGTAATTTACCTCAGAGGTTTATTGTAATTTTTTCTTCTTCAACCCAAGTCAGGCGCCGGCGGCTACCCCAATATCTCAGCCGCTCGCCCGCGCCCCGCATCCCCTACGCCCGATTATGAAACTTCTGAGCTATATCAAGCAATGGAAATCCGCCGCTCGAGAAACTATAGCTCGAGCTTCAATCGCCGCCCAATTCCTTTCCTTAATTCACATCACCGACGCCTACATCTGTTCCACAACTCTCGTTCAAGGGCCTAGCATGCTCCCGACCTTGAATTACTCAGGCGACGTGGTCTTGATCGAACACTTGTCCCATCGTTTGGGGAAGCTCGAACCTGGCGACATTGTGGTGGTTCGTTCTCCCGTTGATCCTAAAAAGATTGTGGCTAAACGGATTGTTGGAATGGAGGGCGATCGAGTTACTTACCTCACGGAGCCTTCGTACAGCGAGAGCTCCCGCACTGTCCTAGTAGGGAAAACTAGGGTTCCTTATTCAATGTTTCATTCTTGTGGGCTGTTGTTGCTTCGTGGGTAGAGAGGCTGACTCAGTGAATTTTGGTTACAGGTTCCAAAAGGCCATGTTTGGATTCAAGGAGACAATGTCTATGCTTCTGCTGATTCCAGATATTTTGGT